GGGCAGACTTAGCACCCTGTATGGTCTCCCCACCCCCGCCCTGGCCTAGGACTGCTCCCCTGCTGTGCCAAAGGACTTCTGGAAGCTTTATCTGAGAGCAGTACCTAAGAGAGAGCAGGGACCGGTGTCAGAACCTATGTGAACGCGAGGCTTCCTTCACGGAGAAGACACGAGCTACCAGGAAGGACGGTAAGCACCCTGGAGCACAGGTCTTCAACTGAGGGGTGCCCGTGCATATTCGTGCTTCTCCCAGCTGCACGCAGGGGGGCAGGGGATGCTACTGACATTTGGTCGGTGGAGGCCAGGAATCGTGCTTGACACCTTAGGGGTGCACCGAAGGCACCCATAATGTCGATGGTATTGATGTGGAGAAACCTTATCGAGAGGCAGCCCCCGATTTCATCCACGGGCCGGCACTCGGGCGTTGCATTATGTTCCCCCAAATATGTGCCGGAAATCCCAACTTAGTGTAAAGTTCATGTGTTAGCTGCTCATCACAAGGATACCAACAAGCTCCCCAGCTGCTCCCAAACTGGCTTTCTACTCCCGTGAAGAGTTACCGCCTCCGAACCCCCCTGGGGCTGTTCTACCCCGTCCCCTGGGGACACTGTGAGTCACATCAGAACGCAAGGGCCTTGAATGGCCTTGGGCTTCCGCGTGTGGTTTGGTGAGCACTCGGGAATGAGTTGGTTTGGTAATGTGAGGACAGAACTAGTGTGCGATGTCTCTGGAGTTGGCTGAGTGGTTAAAGTCTACAAATTGGACTGCTGATGGCAGAGGCTTTCCATTCCCATAGGGGGAAACCACGGAAGCAGTTCTCCCCTGCCATATCGGTCGGGGGTCACTGCGAGTCAATGGCAGTGAATGTGTTTGTTTGTTTTTTTTTGTTTGGGGGGCTCCCGGCGTCTCCCTGACATCGAGGCCATCTGACTCCTAGAGCCCCGAGACTGTAACCCTTTAGAAGAGTATTTGAAGCAGCTGGATTCAAACTGCTGACCTGCGCTTAGCAGCCAACCTCATTATCACTACCCCACCGGGACTCCTCCTTCAGAGCTCGCTCAACTCTTTGTTAAAGGAGTTTAACAGCCCGGCAGAGGCGAGACGGGG